TATATATGTCAGTGTAAACTACTTGTACCACCCCCTCTTAGGCATTGGATCTATAGATCCTAGCCATGGCATTTGGGTCCATTGATTCCCGACAGGCCCTATAAAGGCTCGTTTGCTTCGGTTTGTTTCAATACTTTGTCAACAACCGTTCTGGACTTGTTTCTTCTGCAATAACAACTTGCTTCTGCTACGCCTTCGCCTTCACTTTCGCTCAATTGCCTCAATATTACCACCAGTGCATATATGTATATAAATGTGTATGTATATATATGCATTCAGTTTTGATTTATTCATATATATATATATATATTAATTAATTTTTTTCGCCCACTTGGCCCGTTAGAACAATGACCATTTTACGAACTTCTAATCTTTAACCTCGAGCAGGGTGAAGGAGGATTGCTAATCTTCGAACACCCTTGGTGATTAATAGTTTTTCTCTAAACTATTAACTTTGCACCAAAATAACTGCCATAGACATAAACTACTTGTACCTGATGATGACAAAACCTTGTCGAAACGTTGTACATTTGCTGTTATGTTAAACTTATATTAAAGTTTTTCTTCAATACCCATTCGAGCCGTCTCCAAGCATTAACTGTTTGTTAGTATAAATTTGACTTTATCTTCTGTGCTATTACAATATTTCGTTATTTTTTTTACTACTGCCCATTCTGTGAACATTCAAACTTTATTAAATAATCCTGAATTATTTATAAAATAATTTAAAGAAAACCCCGTAAAATAATAGCAAGAAAGGAAAAATATCAGCAGTATACGATTTATAATTTATCCTGTCCACACTTTGAAACAAACAGATATAGAGCTAATGAAATTGATTGGACAAAAAAATGTAGACCGTCTTCCTCATAAACGTTAGGCCCGGCAATCTGCGGGACGCGGATTCGAATCCCCGTCACACCAAAGATGCTCGCCCTTTCAGCCGTGGGGCGTTATAATATGCCGGTCAATCCCACTATTCGTTGGTAAAAGAGTAATCCAAGAGTTGGCGGTGGGTGGTGATGACTAGCTGCCTTCCCTCTAGTCTTACACTGCTAAATTAGGGACGGCTAGCGCAGATAGCCCTCATGTAGCTTTGCGCGAAATTCAAAACAAACAAACAATCATAAACGTTTTCTTTGTAGTTTAAAACACATTAATTTATAGTAAGACGTAAAGGTTCAAGGTTTTCTTTTGATGTTTATAGAAAATAATGAAATTATTTCACCATCGTTGAGGCTTAGTTTACAATATTTTACTTTTGTTTATGATGCACGGTTAATAAATACTGAATGTTGAACAGTGATAATAAAAGTAAAAACTTCACCAGATGTAATACACGAACAAGAGATCTATATGAACAAAATATTATGCTGTTTGTCATAACTGTTCAAGCTTTATCTTTTTTCATGAATTATAAGTATGACAAGACGGTGTGTAAATAGATGGCATGAACTTTAACGAATGGTTTGGTGCATCAGATTGGTTATTACAAAATGGATGACATATAGTTATCGTGTGATTAATCCAGAGTAAGACAGTTGGGTGTGAGCACGCTTTTGTACGTTCCGTTGATTGGTTATTGTGAAAATTAATTAATATATTTTGTATTGTAGAGAATGCGTAGAATAAAAAAATAATATAAGATGGAGACATCCGGTTTAATTAATATGTAGAAATTATAACTTGGTTGTAGATTGAAAGAAGTTTCTTATTTTCAGTGATATGACAAAGCACTTTAAAACTTTTCAGATCTTACAAGCAAGAAGAGAAAATAATTTATCAAAATTTAATACTGACTGTATACTAGATTCGGGAAAGATTTTAGAATAGTAGTCCATTGGATAACAATTCTGGTGGCCCAGCATGGCCAGGTGGTTAGGGCGCTCGACTCGCAATCTGAGGGTCGCGGGTCCGAATCCCCGTCCCACCAAACATAGTCGCCCTTTCAGCCGCGGGGGCGTTATAATGTGACGGCAAATCGCACTATTCGTTGGTAAAAGAGTAGCCGAAGAGTTGGCGGTGGGTGGTGATGCCTTCCCTCTAGTCTTTCACTGCTAAATTAAGGACGGCTAGCGCAGATAGACCTCGTGTAGCTTTGCGCGAAATTAAAAAACAAACATTTGTTATTGTGTTAGACTTTTAGTAAAATTTTCTTCATTACCCGTTCAAGGAGTCTTCAAACTTTATTCAAGAGCTATATAAGTTGCAGAACTTTAAAAATTCGTGAGTGTTAGAGCGTTTTCTCTAACAGTAGGTCTAACACACTCGTACAGCTGCGAGTTGCTGAATTGACATTCCGATTGTGTCTGTATAAGATACACAAATTACTGCCAGTACCTCTAACTTGTAGTCGTGCCTCTATATTGTTGGAAAGTCACGTAGTTCTTGGAGACAAAAGAATTAATCATTAATAACACTAAAATGCATCAAATTTGTGACCGCCATAAATAACTTCAAAAATATGTTTGTGTCTATGTGGTTTGGATATAACTATTCATAAAGATGTGTAGACTTCGGCTGTAACTGCAAAATGAATTGGTGTTTATTGTACGTCTGTTGGATCGTGTTTGGTAAAAATGACATCTCATGAAACATAAGTATACCATAATAATTTGGAACGAGATCTACTTCTGATTCCCTGCTCTTCCTTGTCTCATTTTGATTTTCTTCGTAATTTAACCACCAAACTGTAAACAGTTATTATTTCTGTATTGTGTTTATAGCTGGCAACCACAGTGTTTATTCTTGGTTTATAGGAGAGTAATTACAGTTGTGATATTTTTTCGATTTGTGAAAAGGTGTATAACAAACAACGTCGTTTTAAAAAAAAGGTTTTAACATGCAGTGCCAAAAAAAAAACCTTTCACAGAAATATAATAAAATTATCATATATTTAGCTTGTTATCCGCCGCCACCTCCAGTGGCACAGCGGTATGTCTGCGGACATACTGGAAAACATACTGGAAAACCGGGTTTCGATACCCGTGGTGGGCAGAGCACAGATAATCCTTTGCGCTTAACTACAAACAACAACAACTTGTAAAACGCCACTTGGTGCAAGCTAGCAGTACGTTTGTGGACTTAGAGCACTAAGATGAGAAGGTTTGATTTTGCCTGGTGGACAGATTGCAGGTACTCCTTGTGTAGCTTTGCGCCAGGGAAAAAAGGAAAAATAAGTTATCTGTCCAAAATAAATTTTGTGACAATGCCCTATACCTTGATACGAATTTCCCCTATATTTTCCGTTTTGATGAGAAAAGGTGTTAAAACCTCGAGTCTCTTGGTGGGATAGCGGTAAGTTTACGGACTTACGACGCTAAAATCCGGGGTTCGATTCCCTGCAGATAGTCCAATGTGACTTTGTTCCGAAAACAAACAAACAAGCAAAATAGATCCTCGATGAAATAATCTTTCCGTAAGTTGTTGAAACTCTTTGATACACGATTTTTGGTAAAAAAGTAACTATATATATATATATATATATATATATATAGATATATATATTATTTGGA